TCGCTTCTCTTTACTCATAAATAGGTTCTTTCTACTGAATTATTTGCCATTTTTTTCGAATAAGTCCAATTTAGTGTTGTATTTTTTTTTTCAACAGGTGTTGGCAATGATCCTAGAGAAGACCGTTATTTTAGCATCCCAAAGCAAGTATGTTCTCTCTCTTCTAAATAGTTCTAGCAAAAATATACACTGCAATTCATGTATCCTCAAACAAATAATGAACACATCAATGGTGTCATTAGGATTTCAAGTGAAGGGGCAAAAGCTTCTAGTTTCTAGTAAAATTTTCATATCCTCCTACATAGTTACATAGCACTTTTCTCAAATTTTGGTGGGCAAGAGTCACCTTCTGCGCCTCCCTAGTTCTACCATTGCTTTAGATGCTCTTGTATAAAGAAATATAATAACGTTTTCTAGCATCACATCTTACTGGTAATCATCTTTTGTAGTCCACATGAACGTGAAACGAACGAAAAAGGTCTATAGTATAAATAATTGTAGGAAAATTTTGAATGAAAATTTTTATATTATATATTGTCATAATAGTTGCAGAGATGAGGATGATCAGGTGGATGAGTGGCTTTATTCTTAGAGATAGGTGAGCATATTCGTGAAAAGGCTGGAGTAGTTCAAGTGGAAGATAAGATTAGAGAGAGTCGTCTTAGATGGTTTGGTCATATAAAAGCCGGCCTTCCGATGACCCGATTAGGAAAGTAGAGGTATTAGATTTGACCTATGTTAAGAAAGGTATAGGTAGTCCTAAAAAGACTTGGTTAGAGAATATTAGAAATGATATTTCCTTATTAGATTTAAACGAAAATATGACTATTAACAGGATGTAATGGAGAAAATAGTATTCATATAGCCGACCCCACGTATTGGGACAAAGGCTTGACGTTGTTGTTTTATACATTGTCATAATAAAGTTTTTCTCAAAGCTAAAGGGATGAGAGCCAACACCCCCAACCCTACATGATTCCACAATTGCTTCACACTTTCTGTCGTTGAAAACTTCACATATTACATAGTAATCGTCTTTGATAATTCACATGAACCTTCAACAAGAAACAAGTTGTTCCCAATAACAAATGGATTTTCTTCCAGGCAAAACTTACGATCCTGAAGGCGAGTACGTTTCATATTGGTTGCCAGAGCTCCAACCTCTTCCCAGAGAGAGAAGAAATTTTCCTGGGAAATCATATATCAAGCAAGTTGTACCTCTTAAGTTTGAAAATACTACAATCAATAGGCAGAATCATTTCAGTACAGGTAAGGTATGGAAGAAGAAAGATCACTGACCGAATGCATATCTGAACAAAATTTCTTTCTGTTACCCAACAGATTACCAATTTGTAATTAATAGAAAAGTATTTGTAGTATTGATTGGCTTTATGAATAATTAACATATTAGTAAATATAATCTCATAATTGTGAAATTTGATCAATTAAGACAACTGAGTGTTTTAATTATTAATTTATTTCTAATTTATTATACAATTTAACTTTAAATTTATAAAAATAATTGATTAATTAGTTAATTAAAATTTACCCCTTTATAGCATTTTAATCAATCATTTGATGGCTGAGTAGCTAAGTTTGTTCGAAATTGGTATTTTCATCACAATTATTAATTTACCAGCAAATTAATATGAAGCTTATTGATTAATTTATTAATTCATTAACCTATTTAATATCTTTTGTCACAATTGGGCTTCTGTCCTATTTTGAAAAGCGATAATATGTTTTTTTTTTACTCTTCTAAGAAGAAAACTTCATTGCAGAAATGGGAAAGGGCACGACTTTTAGATTCTAAGATAAAACTTCCAATAAAAATATTATCCATCATTTTTTGTTCAATATTTTAAAATTAAATGAAATTATCATATGCATTCCAACAATATGGTATGAGGCTGATGAAGATTAAAGTTTTATTTGAAAAATTATTTTAAGAAGCAGGAAAAAAATTATTCTAAATAAAACATAAAAATGAACATAGCCTAATTTATATATAAGTTTTAAAAATATCTTAAGATTTGATGCACCTGCACTTAGTTATCCATCTCCATCTTGCGTCCATTTGGTGCAGCTTTTTCACCTTTTTAAACAGTTATTTTTCTTTTCTTTAGTTACAATGTTTTACTATTTTATGAAATTTTTAACAAGCAGATCTGCTGGAACATAAACTGTAAAAAAAGTAGGCGTCTACTTTTTTCATACTAATTTTACACTTTGTAAAAAATTCTGCACGAAAAGGACCTAAAAAGCCTGCTCAGACAAAGGCCAGAATAAAATGAATCTCCATT